TTTATTTTATTTTTTTGTCTTTTTGAGACAGGGTCTCCCTGTAGCCCTAGCTGGCCTGGAACTCACTACGTAGACCAGGCTGACCTCAGACTCACAGAGATCTGCCTCCCTCTGCCTCCCAAGTGCTGGGACTAAAGGCATGCGCCACCATACCTGGCATTTTTTGGTCTTTTTGAGACAGGGTCTTCCTGTACCCCCAACTGGCCTGGAACTCACTATGTAGACCAGGCTGGCCTTGAACTCACAGAGATTCACCTGCCTGTGTTGGGATTAAAGGTGTGTGCCACCATGCCCATCTTTTAAATTTGTTTAATTAAAAACATTTTGTGTATGTGTGTGTGCATGTATTTAGACTCCCCACCTATACTGTCCAAGAACAACCCCCCCCCGACCGGATTTCATACATTATGCCATATACATTAAAGCCTACTGAGCCAGGTTTCTGTCTCCAAATGTTCCTCAGTGTGAGTTCATACACTGGAACCTGGTCAGCCTATCTAGCATCACTTCCTTAAAGAAACCAACTCTCCCTTCTCCCAGTAGTCACAAGTTGCCAACAGTTTCTCAGCTAAGGTTGAGGCTTCTTCCCTATTTTCCCCCTTCTATGCTGAGTTTTTGTCTGATTTGAGCTTGCATGAGTTTTGTGCCTGCTGTCCCCACTGCTGTAAGTTCATATGGCAACTACCCAACCACCTGGAAAACTATTTCCTTGTGGTCATCCACCTCCCCTGGCTCTTACAGGCTTTTTGCCCCCTCTTTCACAACAATTCCTGGGCCCTGGGTGGCAGAGGTTTGATATAGGTGCCCTCCCCAGGGATAAGCACTCTGTGGTCTCTTCGTCTCTGCACTTTGGCCAGTTGTGGCTTTCTGGGTTAATCACCAAGAAAGGATTCATCTTCTCTCTGCCTCCTGTTCCACTATGTTTCCTGAACGTTAGGTGTGGAGGTTGCATTGTAGATGTGTCACTTAGGGCTGCCTCATAGACACTTCTCCTCTGTGTTTGACCAGTTGTGAAACTCTGTAATAGTCTCCATCTGTTGCAAAAAGAAGCTCTTTTATTTTATTTTATTTTATTTTTTTTTTTCTGACAGGGTCTCTGTAGTCCCAGCCTGCCTGGAAGTCATTATGTGGACCAGGCTGACCTTGATCTCACAGAGATCCACCTGTGTCTGCCTCGCGAAGGCTGGAATGAAAGGCACATGCCACCACACGTGGTGTAAAAAGAAGCTTTTTTTGATGAGTGATGAGAAGTACACTTGCCTGTAAATATAAGAATACATATGTAGAATGCAGTAAAAAATTACATTGGCCTAGGAGTGTGATAAAAGTATTTCTCTAGGATCTATGATCTCTTCATCTGTGTGTATTTGCTATGTTTACAGTCGCACACATGAGTTCCTTTCCAGTGAGTGGGCCTTAAGTTCACTTACACTTAAGTCCTTAAGACAGTTGTTGATTACCCCCAAAATGAAAGTGCCACTACTGCACTAATAGAGATAGTTTGCTGTGCTGGTCATTGCTGTGGTTATTAGGCTTTAAAGCTGGGGTTGCACAATTGATTATCTCTCTTAGCATCTTGCATAGTAGCCTCCAGAACTATGATGCTATACACACACACACACACACACACACACACACACAAAATGTTTCTTTTTCAATAAGCTTTGAACTAATACATTTACCCCTGGTCTTTCACACCACCCAAGCATTATTTATCTCACCTCTCTCCCCCCCCTGTATACCCTCCCTCTTTCCTTCCCAGTTAAAGTGCCCCCATTTCTCCCATTTCCTCCTTGATAACACCTGCCTCCTACTTTCCCTCTCTCTCAAGCTCCTTCTTCCCTCCATGATTCCTTTCCATTTTACTGGTTCCTATGGTTACATCTGGATATATATTTACATAGAAGGATTTGGAGCTAAGATTCACAAATGAGAGAGAACATTTGTCCTTATTTTTCTGAGTCTGTGTTACTTCACTTAATATAACACAGAGATCCATCTTCTTCTGCCTCCTGAGTCCTGGGATTAAAGATGTGTATTTGTAACCATGCCTGGCCTTCTTTTTAAAATTTAATTTTTAATTTTTATTTTATGTATATGAGTGTATTGCCTGCATGTAAGTGCACCCATGTCATGCAATGCAAAGTCAGAAGAGGGCGTTGGGTCCCCTGGAACTAGGGTTATGGATGGTTGTTAGCCACCATGTGGGTGCAGAGGACCCAGGTCCTCTGCAAGAGCACAAGTGCTCTTAAGTGCTGAGCCATCTCTCTAGCCCCAACATCAACAATTTTATTATTGTCATGGTGGCGCATGCCTTTAATTCCAGCACTTGGGAGGCAGAGGCAGGTGAATCTCTGTGAGTTCGAGGCCAGCCTGGTCTACCTAGTGAGTTCCAGGACAGCTGGGGCTACAGGGAGACCCTGTCTCAAAAAGACCAAAATTTTTTTTTATTATTTTTATTTTATGTGTATGAGTGTATTGCCTGCATATATGTGAGTGCACCTGTGTTGTGGAATTCCGCGGAAGTCAGAAGAGGGCTTTGGATTCTCCTGGAACTGGAGTTAAGGACGGTTTATAGCCACTATGTGGGTGCTGGGAATCAAACCTGGGTCCTCTGCAAGATCAGTCATTGCTCTTAACCACTGAGCCATTGCTCCAGCCCTAAATATATTTATTTTAAAAATATTTTATTTATTATTTTTATTTTATGTGTATGAGTGTATTGCTTGCATATGTGTAAGTGCACCCGTGTCATGCAATGCCCACGGAGGTCAGAAGAAGGCGTCAGATACCCCTGGAACTGGAGTTACAGATGGTTGTTAGCCACCATGTGGGTACTGGGAATAGAAACTGGGTTCTCTGCAAGAGCAGTTAGTGCTCTTAACTGCTGAGCCAGAATCTTCTCTCAAGCCCCTAGCTTGAAATTTTTAAAATAAAAATATTAACTCCAGCCAGGGTGTGGTGATGCACACATTTAATCCTAGCACTTCAGAGGCAGAGTCAAGTGGATCTCTGTGAGATCAAGTCCAGCCTAGTCTACTTAGTGAGTTCCAGACTAGCTGAGGCTACAGGGATGCCCTTTCTAAAAAAAAATTAACCAACTGCAAAATACCTTGAAGGTGCTCTTTTCTTGCAGTATATTCAGCCCAGACTTAATTCTTTGTGTAAAAATAAACATACATATCCATTTCATTAGTATGAAAATTTGCTTTCATGTTTAATAAATAGTAAAACTCTACGTATAGCAAAGAATTACTTCATAATAAATTTATTTATGATTATTTTCAGCAAATGTTTGATTTGTGTACCTATTGTGTATACCTACTTGAGATCATATAAAAACATTCTTGGGCAAAAGAGTCATGAGTGGAAAAAGTTGAGAATCCCTGCTTTGACAGTTTGACAGTGCCCTGACAATGCTTAACTGATGTCCCACTGCCCCCAGAGGGAGGTGGGTCCTTCTGATCAGTCACAGTAAGGCCAAGCTGGAGGAAACAAGTTACTGAAGGTGTGTATTCTAGTTCCATTTCTGTTGCTGTGACTAATACCCTGTCAAAAGCCACTTAGGGAGGCAATGGTTTATCTGGCTCACAAGGGTAAATTGCAGTCTACTACTTTGGGGAAGTCAAGGTAGGAGTCCAAGCATAGTCACATGGCATCCACAGTCAAGGGCAGAGAGGGAACAAACACATCCAGGCTTGCTTTCAACTTTTTCTTCTTTTATTCCATTCAATACCCAACTACCTAGAGAATTGTGCTGCCCACAGTGGGCTGGGTCGTCTTACTTCAATTAGCAACTGTGGTGGTTTGAATGAGAATGTCCCCCTGTCTCCTGATTGGCTGGTTCCTCCAATGGGCGGGGCCTGACACGAAGTAGGAAGGGAAGCCAGGAGCCCCCGGTAGAGTGTGCTGAAGACACAGGTGTGACTGTAATAGCCTCAGAGGCCCCAACCTGACACAGATCAGGGAATGATCCATCTTGAAACTGTGTCTTTCCCCAAATTACAGCCCCTTCAGAATCTCAGTTCTGTGTAACCTATTTTCTACCCATCCCTCCTATCCATCTACCTTAGTCTCCTTAATACAAATACTCCAAGATTTCTTCAGACCCAATGATCCATCAAGCTAGTCACCTCTTCACTGTCCCTTAACTTCTTTTTTTTTTTTTTAAAAAAAAACGTTTACTTATTTTTACTTTATGTATATGAGTGTTACATCTGCATATGTGTAACTGCACCCATGTTGTGCAGTGCCCACAGAGAACAGAAGAGGGTGTCAGATCTCCTGGAACTAGAGTTGCAGACAATTGTTAGTCACCATATGGGTGCTGGAATTCGAACCCGGGTCTTTTGGAAGAATAGCCCCCAGTGCTCTTAACTGCTGAGCCATCTCTTCAGCCCCTGTCTTAGCTTCTTAACTTATTTCTTGAACCTATTCCAATCAGGGTTCTACCTATATCACTTCACCAAAATCTCAATAAGGACTAAAACCAATGGTAAATTTTATAGCTCCATCTTATCAATAGTCTCTCCTGATTAATATACCCATTAAACCTGGCTCTAAGAACTCTCCTATGTCCTCCTGGCATCATTGTTGTTCAATGTTTTTCTCCTTGATGGGATTCTAAATCCTCACTCCAACTTTGAGATAAGTCATTCACTCTACTTTATAGATGACAAAACTGAGTCAGAGAGAAATTGAGTAACTTATCAGGATTATAATGACAAAGCCAGAATCTATTCCTCTCCTCTCTCCAACTTCCACTTCCCTCCATCCAATCGTTCATCTTCTCATCCATCCATTCCTTTAATCATCTACTTCTTCTACTTCCAATTTCTCCAATACTTTCCCCATACTTATATCTGTTTCTTGATCTACCCATGTGTCTGTGTGTGCAACCATCCATCTTATTACTCCTAATAAATACTCCTCAGCATCCAGGTCTCCTACAGTGTGGGGAGAAAGCTGGGGGAGACACATGAGATAGACACACCTCCATGCAGCTTGGTTCGAGATGTTTACTCTATGCTCTCAATTTAGCCTCAGTGGCTCAGAGGAAGGAAGGGACAGGGAAGGAGTGCACAGGTCATCCTTCAATCACTTAACCTCCAGGATGGGGGCAGGTCTTTAAGTCTTCATTGCCAATGATGACTGATCAGTTGTAACTGCAAGAAACAGACACTTAGCACCCCATCCTGCAGACTCAGCACCCACCCAAACGACCCCTTTCCCATGAGGATGCAGCTGTCCCAGCCCCAAGGCTTCCATCCTCCATCCCTCACCATGGGGAGAAGTCCTGTGCTCTCCACTTCTCAATCACTGTCTTTCCCCAGGATCCAAGCATATCATTGGCCTGGTCCCCATCAAAGTTTCCACAGGCCCCACACAGTCTGCCAGTATGGTCATTGCTGACCATTATAGCCAGCTCCCCATCAGTGCCAAGCCACATCTGGATCCCTGCTTTATGGTGGAGGAGCATGGAGCCATCAGGTGCCTGCTTCACAGACACAGATGTTAACACACTGGCTGGGATATCCACTCGGAGACCATTTACCTGGTGGAGGGGGCAAGCAAATGGAGAAGTGAGGACATGGTGACAGAATAGCTTCAGCGGGGATTACCAGGGTGGAGTCCTTGAATGAAATAATGAGTTCAAGCAAAGAGGTAGGTGCTGAAAGAGATGGATCCCTGAAGAGGACAGCTATATGGAGAGACAGGCAGGTGGGAAGGCAGCTGGACAGGTGGGAAGGCAGCTGGGCAAGTGGGAAGACAGGGGAAGGCAGCTGGGGACGTGTGTTCTCACATAGCTCACTGAGCACACTTATGCCCACTGCAATGATACTCCAAATTAACTTATTCATATTTCCAGAGTCTTCCTGTTTAATAGTTAGACTGTCAGTGGATGAAAGGATAGAGAGTGAGTGGATAAAAGGATGGATCAATGACTTCCCACAACATTCCAAGGTCAGGGGAAAAGCCCTATGGACCAGACAGATATCAAACAAATGAACAAAGCTGGGTTCAACTTTCAGGGTCTAGTTTTCAAAATAAAATGTCAATTTATTATGTCCTGTTTATACATCTTCTCCCTTTGCAATTTTACTTTGTATCTTCTTACTGCAATAATTCTTACCTATCTCTGCAACCATATGCTGAATCCTCCTAGGGAATCATGGAACCTGGGAATAGACATGGGGAATCTGACACTTTATTTGATGCCAGCCCGACCAATATAGCAATTCATGCCCAGGACCACGAGTGGGCATATGGTCCAAACTAGTCCAGTGTGATGCACTCCTGGGACTTTTTCCCTTAATTTCTTTTCTTGGTCCTTTTGAGACAAGGTCTCCTTGTAGAGACCAGGAACTGGCCAGGAACTCACTATGTAGACCAGGCTGGCCATGAACTCACAGAGATCCTCCTCCCTCTGCCTCCCGAGTGTTGGGATTAAAGGCATATGCCACCACACCTGCTGTATTGGGATGAAGAAGATGGACAGAAGGCAACCAGGTAGCCAGGAATGTAGGCCACTGTGTCAGGAGGAAGGAAACTCCAAGGAAGGGTTACCTGCCCTCTGTGCCCAGACTTACCCACACGGCCTTGCTTGGGGTCAGAGTCACCATCCCATCTCGGAAGAAGATGTGGACCTCACCCACAGTCTTATCTTGGCCATTGCAGCTCTGGACATCAGCAACCATGCGGTACCAGGGCAGGGTATTCTGGAGTCCTGGGCATCGGGAAGAAAGTTCATAGATGCCAGGAGAGCTGATGGCATTGAGGGCTCCATCAAAAGTGGTGAGGTTGGCACCCACAGAGAGTGAGCAGAGACCCCCAGCCGGCCAGCAGTCCTGGACTCCTGCTTGGATCTCACAGACACGGCCAAATGGGCAGCCAGCTGCCTGGCATGTCAGGCCAGTACTTGCTGAGCAGAAACAGCGCTTACTGCAGTCTGAGGTCAGTAGTGAGGAGTTCACCTGTGCACAGAAAGAGCCAGGTGATAGATGATGTACATTCACTAGAGAGAAATGACAGCAGGCTCCCAGTATATCCCTTACCCAGGTATCTGGGATGGCTTTCAGACTATGCTTTGTCAATAAAACAGCAGGAGCCAGGCAGTGCCAGATTCATATTCACTAGCCCTGACAGTCCATTCCATTTGTACCCTGTCTCTGTCTTAGAACTCTGCCCAACTACTATGAGAACAAGCCTGGGCTAGCCCACTGGATAATGGGTGACTTCATGGCACAGAGAAAATGATCCTAGCTCAGGGCACTTGCTATGGTTTGGAGATGGCTTGTCGCCCAGAACTATGCAGGAGTTTGGGTTCTAAATTTGAAATTTCATTTAACTATAGTATTTAGAAGTAGAGACTCTGTTTATATCAGCAGAGCATAAATGATCCCAGAAACTCTTTGAAAACTAGTACCATCTATGGCATGTGACTTATAGCTGAAAGGGAACCTAAGAATGAACGGCTGTTGGGGGGGCACATAACTGCCTGGAACAACAGTGAAGCAGAAGGGACACTGAGCATGTGCAACAAGCACTATCCCCCACAAGGAGGCCAAATAAGCTGGGACTTTATCATACCAGTAATAACCGGTCTATCTTCAAAAGCATAAAAAGTAAAACATAATTATTTTAGAAAAAAAGTTGTCTGGTTTTGTTACACAAGAAGCCTGGCTATGCAGAAACTTGTTACATAAGTAGTTGTGAAGGGTAAAAACACAAGGTAGTGGATATCACCATGTTTTGTAAAGGAAAAACCAATGGTCTCTGATAACACTGAATATGTATATTAAAAGGACAAAAAGACTCAGAGTGAAATAAACGATAGCATCTTCTTTTATTCACTGACTTATTCAAGTGAAAAACAGAGTAAGCATAGCCTCTGGGAGGTGAGTGCATCACTAAAGTCACTAAGTTGGAGTCTCCATAATTGAAGCCTTGTAGCTCATTCAGGAGACACAGACCACATGTTGACAGATGCACACACATGTTTCTGCCGTTATATCATGTGGTCAAGAAGGGCTCACCAGAGCTTGGACTTCCAGTTTCCTAAACTGTAACTATGAGCTATAGAAACCCCCCTTATCGATAAAGTAGCCTTCCTCAGGTATTGTCTTACAGTGATGAAAAGCTACTGTACTATATCAGGCACCCCTCAGCTGATCTACTAGATGCCTACAAATAAGCTCAGAGGACAGCAAAACTTTCAGCCTGTGCTGATTAGTTTTTGTCAACTCGACATAAACTAGAGAGAGTCACTGAGAAGAGGGAACCTCAACTGAGGACTTTCCTCTATTTGAATGGCCTGTGGCCATGTTTCTGAGGCATTTTCTTAATTGTTAGTTGATATAGAAGGACCCAGCCCACTGTGGGCTGTGCCATCCCTAGGCAGGCGGGCCTGGGTTGTATAAAAGGTAGCTGAGCAAGCCAAGGGAAAAAGCCAGTGAGCAGAGCCTCCATGGTCTTTGCTTCAACTCCTGCCTCCAGGTTTCTGCCCTGTTGGCATTCCTGCCTTGGCTTCCCACCGTGGTGGACTGTGATTGGGACATGCAAGCCAAATAAACCTTGTCCTCTCCAAGTTGGTTTTGGTCAGTATTTTATCACAGCAGCAGAAACCAAATTAGAACAGAAATTGGTGCCAGAGAATGGGATACAGCTGTGACGAACCTGACCATGTGGCTTTTGGGGGAGGATTATGGAAGAATTTTGATTTGAGATGGAAAAGTCTTTGAATGCTTGGAGCTCAATGGGCTAGTCTGTGGGAGCTTGGAAGGTAAGAGGACTGAGAGAAACGCAGGTGATGGAGTCCTGGTTTGAGAAGTATCAGAGGGAAAGTTGAAAGTCCCTCAAAGACTCTATTAGGACTGTTCTTGTGACATTTTTAATTACGCACTTGACTTCTGGTCAGCTGAGGCTGAAGAATCAGCTGTGATTAACAAGAGACCAGCACTAATAAAGTGAAATCCTACCTTTACTGGGATAATCAATGCTTGGAAATGGCTGAAAAATCATACCTGGGGGGCTAGAGAGATAGCTCAGCAGTTAAGAGCTCTGGCTGCTCTTGCAGAAGACCCTGAGTTCAATTCCCAGCACCCACGTGGTAGCTAACGACCACTCATAACTCCAGTTTCAGGGGATCTGACAACTTCTGACCTCCACGGGCATTGCATGACATGGTGGTACCTATACACATCAGGCAATACATCCATATACATAAAATAAAAATCATCTTTGATTAATAAGATATTAGTATCATTGAGGTAAAATCTTCTGGGAAGCATTTTTGAAGGGTCACCACACAGAAGACGTAGATGGGGTCCAAGGCTATATCTTAATCTGGAAGCTGAACTTAGTGATATGTAAGAGTCTCCCACATGGTACTGGTATTGGTCATATGAATACTGCAAAACTGAAGGGGTTATAGAGAGAAGCTGAGGCTTGGCACCATGAGAGGCCGGGAGGGGCCACCCTCAATTGCAGTGGAGGCCCCAGGATCCTGGAGATGCCTTTGAAGTATAAGATGAAATAAACTCTTTCCTCCCCAAGTTGGTTTTGGTCAGTGTTTTATCACAGAAACAAAAAGCAAAGCACAGCCCAAACTGCAGCCATAGAATTATAAACTTAAAAACAGCTAACTTAAGGTAATACATTTTATAGTGATTTGTTAATATATTAATTATTTTAATGTATGTATTAATATAACACAGCAAAAGCTACCTGATAGAGGTAGGAATGGGTACTGGGGACACCCTAGAATCCTGGTACCCATGGCCTAGAACAAATGGCCCTCAAAATGCCTTTCCATGAATTGAACTCTGTTTCTCCTCTCATCAGCAGCCTTCTTTACTTCCTTTTAAATCTCCAAAACCCTTAATGCTTTTGCCCTGGGCTCAGTCTACAGGCCTTTTGCTCATCTGGCTCCATTTACAATCTGGTAATTTCATGCACAAAAAACAGTGTCTGATCCTCATGAGGGCCCTAGGCCAGAAAGCTAGTGACTGTACTGTAATAACTTGTAAAATCTGGATAAAATCAATAGATAATAATATTAAATCAACATTAATTTCCTGGTTTTGATTATTTATATGTCATATAAATGAATTTCCTGAGAAAAGGGAACTGAGTTGATAAGCACCCTGGTCTTTGAAGTCAAGAGAAGCAGACTTTTCTCCACTGTTTAGCCAACACAGCAGGCTTCCCCTTTGATCTCTAAAGGGGGTGGGCTTTAACAGTCCCACTCTCCTGCTTCCCCCTGCCCAACTTAAAAAAAATATATCTTCCCGCCTTCTGCACCCCCTAGAAGCCTGCCCCTTAAAAAGACCCCAGCTCACAACCCGGGCAGACATTTTCCTTGTCCAGAAGGGACTCTGTCCCATGTGTTCCTTTGCTAATAAACTCTATTCCAATGGAGTTTTATCTGTGTCCTGGTGCTTTCTCTGGATCAACCGGATTCATCCACAGGCTACTTTATCTATCAGATGGTGCCAAAACCTGGTTCTTACTTCAAGGGACCCACCTGGACTTCTCAACGCCACTAACTTGGCTTTCAGGTACATTCCCACCCTTCTTTTCTCTCCTCCTCTCCCCAGCCCTCTGCTTTGCTTTCACCTTTTTCTGGCTCTCCTCACTGGGGAACACACTCTGCCTTGCTTATGTCTTCTTTTGATCTTCTTTACCATTGATCTTGTCACTCCCAGACAGCACCGGTCTCTGTGATGGAGCTGCTTCATCCATTCGCTACCTCAGTTCCCCCGTGCCCTGCTCGCCACCAGCATCTCGCCCCCTCCCCACTCCTTTGCCATGGGCCTGGATGGTCTGCTGTCTTCCATCCTTTTTTCCTGTCTTTATCCTCTTCCATTGCCTCTCTTCCTCACTTTACTCGGGATGATTTCTGATACCGTTCAAACCAACACATACAAATGCTCTGGATCCTTCTCCTCTCTCTCCCCCTCCCATACTGAAGCTTTCTACTCCCCAAGTGCCTGACAGCCTGCCGCGTGTCTGATTTCCCATGCAGGCTCTAAACCTACATGACCCCAAGGCTTTTTTTGTCCCTCCAGCTATTCACCCCCTCCAGGCAGCTGCCAAGATGGCCAGCTTGCTTGCCCTGGGGATTTTTTCTTTAACATTCTAATAAAATGATAAAAGTTTCCAACTGGATCCATTCTTAAATTCTCTTATAAATGTAAGAACCCTTTAGGGGACCCTTTCTCCCCATTTTGATGCAACTAGCCTAAACCAGCTGGGCAACATTGCTAGAGTATTTAAAGAATTTCAGGTGGCTTGCCCCATTGCCAAATGGAAAATGTTTTAAAAAAGCCTTTTTTCTTCTCCTAAACTTTTCCTCAAGCAAAGGGGCTCGAAATTTTGATCTTAGGCCCTCTTGGGCATCAAGCAACTGGTGCTCAGGTGCCTACTTTTCTAACTAGACCTAACCATTTTAAATTTCACTATACATAAATGGTCACAGGCACTGCTCAGGTGAGTCATATGCTTTTAGAGCAAGAACCACTGATTTATATGCCCTGTTCCTTCTGCTGCCCTCATGAGTTTCCTTTCCAGCACAGGTTGTGTCTAGAAATTAAGAGACCCTGAGAACTTGGCTTTACATTCACAGGTACAATGGTTGGTGAGAAACATGGAATCCTTTGATTTGCTTTTCTATTTAGGTCATATATATTTATATCTTTATCTATCTATCTATCTATCTATCTATCTATCTATCTATCTATCTATCTATCTATCTGAGGGTACTTTCTTCTTTTATATCAAGCCCAACTCTACTGGTACCAGGGGTGCCTAGGATTCTCTTGTAATTTATTTTTGTTTTCGTTTCTTGATGATGTCATAAAATAAATAATACATTTCTAGTTCAGAGTAAGGGAATAATGCCAGATTACACAATGGGAGCTTAAATTTTAACATTGTTTAGGGCCTGTTTCTAAAGGGGATTGCTTTGAGTTTT